ACAGGTCAGCATCACATTATCATGTGTATGACCAAGATCACTATTACATCTGTCTACGGTAATTTGTCTTGGATTATTATTCGAATATTTCCATAACATATTACAGTTACATCTTTCACGATGACTATTCTGTAGTTGTTTTAGTGGTATAATAAATTAAAAATTAAAATCGAAGTCACGCTTTTTTTGTCACATTGTTTATAATCCGCTAATGTTTTTTTATGACAACAGGGTCGTTAGTGATTTCTTCAGTTATCTCGTAATCTATAATAACCCTATGCAGCTGAGATACTCTTTTGACTCGAGATACTGCGAGGTAAATTAAATTCGACCATTCGATCCGATCATCGACAATCCAGATATTTGTATCATAAATAGTTAATCCCTGTGACCAATGAATCGTTATAGCGTATCATAACGTCCACTGTTATTTATTCATGCTCAATGCACTCGCAACAACATCAACAGCAGTCAAAACAATATCATTCAGTTCATGATCTTGTTTTCCACCACTAAGAATTTCAACTTCAATATTCTGTCGTCCAGTATTTCCTGGGCCATAACATAATGGTACAGGCAGATTTAAAATAATTTTATTTGTGTAACGTAGATCATTTCTCTATCTTTCTACTTGCGACTATCAAATCAGCAGGCCTCCATAAATTAAAAACAAAATCATTCATAGTAGTTTCTGGACTTACTTTACGCATTATCTCACATTGTATTTTATGTGGCTGTAGTCTGATTAACCTTAGTTCTTTCAGCAGTTCATCAATAGCTCTATGGTCATCATTTATTTTCGCATAATAATCTACATTATTCTTTAGCCATTCAGGTGGAAACTTTCAATAAAGCGTGGTGGTTGACCATGATCGCCACGCATTATTGCAGCAGAATTTTTGTAAATAACCATTCAATAAATATTTTGAATATTTCTAACGACACATTGTCCATCTCTTCCCATATAATATACTTGGGTATATATTTTTCACTTATTCGCTCAGGAGTCCATTTGTCTCCGCGTCATCTAAAAAAACTGATATGTACATGATTTTACTTCTCGTTCTTTTATTTCTCTTGCGAGTTTATGTGTCAAAACAATTATATCTGAATGGTTGTTCATGAATAATTTAATCGCACAAGTTGTTTTACCTGAACCACCATATCCATTAAAATAAACAATCTTATGTCTAGCCACGGGATCGTATACAGATGGTGCAGATGATTTTGATACTTGATTTTTTTTTTTGTAATGTATTTCCTTAATTTCAACGTCGGCACATTCAGAATAACTGAGTATATTTTCTTGTTTTATTCTATATGACCTCTATTTACCAATACCGAGTAGCGGTAGTAATAAATTTGTGTTTTTTATGTATATAAACGAATCCGTAGCAATTCTGACAGCATAACGAGGAAATCTATTTATCATCGACAATAGATTTATCGAAACATAGGCTAGCATCGAATATCTTAAATAAGTAAACTGTGGTGAGTCGCCATCAATAAAGCTGACAATTGTGCTTAGTTTGGTTCCGACTTATAAATAAGCATTATATCGGTTTATAAATGTGGGGTGGGTGTGTTGTATCAGCGATTATAAAATCAAGTTCAGCATCGTCCATAATCAATCTTGAATAGTGTCGTTTGTAATCGTATTATTCTCCCTATGTAAATTTACCGATTATCTATCTACCAAGATCTTTTGCAATTTTTTCATCGTGCTCGTTCCTGCATTTACGTATATTATTAGTAATTTAAATAATGTCATCTTCATTAAGGTCAGGAAATTCTTTCCTGGCATGATCGATATTAAATATCTCCGGTTCTGGTAACGAAGCTTGTTTCTGTAGACTATATGATATAATTGCTTCATTTACTTTCGATGATATAAAAGTTCCAGCATCAAGCATATATCTTATTAGTACTATTGAAACCGAACTTTTTTCCTGAAAAAAATGTTTTCCAAACCAAGCATAAGTATCGGATGGAGATTTTCTGTAAGCTCAAATGATTCTATATAGGCAAATCCAGTTAAGTAAAAATCTGGTAAGGGTCCATTTATCGCAACTCTGGTCATCTCACTTATGCAATGGATATCCATCTCTGAAATCTCTGAAAGTATTTAGAACATTCTCCGTATCTAAGAAAACTTTCAGAATAACATGCTACCATATCAACTGAGATAACGTCACTCTAGTCGTATTTATTATTCCATAATCCACCGTTCCCATATTATATACAACTTTTCTAGGATATCTTCATTGACTTAAAGAAGTTCTGATCATGAATCTTTCCCGTGAGCGAAATGAACCGCATCTGATGGTACGGTAAAACAATTATTCAGTAATTGTCTAACTTTGACATTGTCGGAAGTATATTTAAATGTCAGATTTTCCATTTCTTTATAAAAAGATTATGTATGATAAATATCACCATTAAGCCGTACAAATTGATGATGATAAAAATATTCTGAACTTTGAAATAACCAAACAGACACAGGGTCACTTTTAGTGATATTTCTGATAAAATCAAATATATGACCTTTATAAAATGTAACCGTTCTGCCTCGTGGAAATATTGTTACTGCCAAAGTCTATGCACGTGCATTACGATCAATGATATCTTTCGAAACTCCTCTTTATTCGTATTTCGATTTATACAAAATCTCCCCAGTTAACGTCTTCGCTGTTATTGGAAATTTTAATAGCTTTCCCAACTCAGCAACATGTTTAATAGATGCGTCATTATCTTTAACTGCTTCTGCCCAGGTATTTATTTTTATACGTGGTAAATCCTTTAAGCCATTACCACGTATCGCATTTGTGAAATGTTCTGTAAGCCGTTCAGCTACAGTTTATTCTTGACTTTGACAGTTTCATCGGTTTAAGATCTGCAACGTTAGGTTTATCATTCAGCTAACATATTGCATATACAACAGCAGTCACAGGGTACCCTCGTTCATAATACGGTTTGTCAATGCCAGTCATTATTCCTGGTTTGGATATATTATTCAAGAGAACAATATTATTTCCCGACTGTATGTGGACTGAACATGCTTTTCACGAATAATTCAAGTATCGTCATCTGTCTTTACAATAAATTTTATTAAAATAAGATATCTTTGAGCATCAATGTGATTAATAATCTCTCTTCATCGTTTTCCATTCATCATATTAACAATATTTCCAATTCTGAGTATTGACCACACATGAGCCGCACAATCGTCACAAAATTCCTTATTGTCTTCACGTATATGTTTACACATACTCCTATATACAAAAACAAACAAATACACAAATACATATACAACAGAAAGAAAAAATTTGGGGTGGGCAATAAGTAAATCTTTTTGAGGCAATGGAGTGGCCCTGAAACTGGCCATTTAATTTTTCTTTTATTTCCTCAATTTCTTCCACCAATATCTCAGTCTGCCTTTTATTCTTTTCTTTATCCTCCTTGATCCAGTCAGGTTGTCCCATAGCTCTACACTTTTCCTGGACTTTGATCCAGTTGTTATTTAGCTTTTTAAAGTTTTCCTTGATCTTGTAATTTTCTTTTTCCTTTTCTTCCTTTGCCAATGTGACCTCGATCATGTCCACTTCTTACTTCGCCACTTTCCTGACAATGATCTCATAATTTTTTTTTTAACGCAGTGGATGCCCTTTTCTCGCAGCTTAAGACGGGTAAGGCCAATGGATCCTTAGTCACCACTATCAAACCCAACGTTTTCTTCAATAAACCTACCTTGCAGTATTACTCATTTCATCTTTTCCTCCCGCCGTACCTCTTTATCCAGGTGCTTGGCTTCTTGAACGGTTGACACTCACCTTGTCACATACTGAACATCCAACGCCAAGCATCATGATATTTAAATTATCTAGGTATCGAGCCGCTCGCTACCCCTCGCATTTTATATATTACCTAATACTCAGTTGAATGTCCAAACGGTGGGAAGATAAGCACCACCAACACACCAAGTGCCTCAGACATCCGTTACAATTTTTAGTTGTTCCTAAATTAAAATTATACTGTTTGTTTTTGTGTTACAACTATGCTGACTCCAGCATTTCCACAATTCCAGTGGATGCTTTGACGACCATCCTGAACATCTACTTCTCTTGAACGAATGATCGTGTCATCATACGGTTTTCGCTCTTTTACCTGATAATGTTTGGCAATTTCAGAATAAAAATGGGTTTGTCTAACATTCAGTATGGCACAATAATTGCCGCTTCGAAAACCATTTATTACAACTGCTCTTCAATAAATGATATAATTGATTTGGGGTTTTTGCTCAAATGCTCCCTACAAAATACCTAAGAGCAATTTGCAGTTCTCACCAACATACCTGCTTATATTTTAGGAGTTTTAAAAACTACACCAAATTGTCCTTTGGGTGAAGAAAAAACTCATTGCTTCTATTTCTGTTCTTCATTAAGTTTATAAATATACTGATGTGTACATTTACAAATGATTTTTGTTTCTATTTAGTTGCATTCCAACTCACAAGTTGATAGCTCGCTGACATAATTCTTGACTCAGGTTGTTACATGTACTGACGTGTATAGTATGAAAAGTGTAATTGGATTTCCATCAACTCAGTTTGTGGATACGTGTGTGTGTGTGTGTATGTATATATATATATATATATATATATATATATATATATATATATATATATATATATATATATATATATATATATATATATATATATATATATATATATGTGTGTGTGTGTGTGTGTGTGTGTGTGTGTGTGTGTGTGTGTGTGTGATTTAAATTCGTAACGTAGTTTTAAAAAATTTTCAGTCATATCGAAGTGTGACAGTTTATAGTGATGTCTAACACTGGGGCAACATGCAGCAGACATGTGGCATGATATCCCACCCAATCACATTATCCTGACACCAGGTCGACCAGTACTAACACGAATGTCTTAATGCTGAGCGTCAAGCGAGGCAGCTGTTAGTACTATTTTTAAAAAGTTTTTTGGTATGACTGGGTTGGGGTTCGAACCCGCGACCTTCCGCATACGAGGCGGACGCTCTCACAACTAGGCTACCAGAGCGGTCTGTTGATACGCAGTGGATAGTACTACTTCAATAACTTTTCATCCAAGAAAATATTCGTTATAGATGTAGCCAAACATCGTTTGGGTATATCCTGACATTGTCCTGGAACAAGCTGATTCATTTTTAATCTATAATATCAAATTAAAGTTCGATTAGGCATGGTAGAGAATGTTGTACTTACTGTACAGACAAATATATTGTGAACCTGTTATTACACTCATGTAAGAAAATATGTTGTTATCAACTTTTGCATGTTATAGTTTCTACAAAATATCAGGGTGGTTTGTATACTCAGCGATAAAATTATATGACAGAAGAGAAAGATTTATCTTGGATTCCATGAAATTGATTCTTACCACTACAGTGTCAAACCCTTCGATGAATTGTTTTCATCTCCTTGTGTCGCGTACCAGTGTCACAAAATGACATTAATTGACACGGTGGAAAGTGGGGTGAGTGACTACATTTGTACTTTCTATAACAAGCCCCTTTTATTATCACACAAAAATCTATTATCACTGAGAACAATTTTGGGACTACTTTCTCAAACTAATGAACCTCTTATCTTGGTAAAGAAAAAATAGTCCATCGAGTCCAATATATAAAGAATGTAAATATCTCAAATTGTTTTCATCGACATAATTTTTTAATATAATTTCATAAAGAAAAATAAATGAAATTGTGAACTGGAAGTGCCTATCAGCGCTTTATCATCATGCATAGCATTATAGTCTGGGACAATTCATATAATGCAAAAAAGGCAGGGGGTAAAGAAGAAGGATGTACGATGCAGAAGATAATAAAGAAAATGTGGTTACCATAAGCTCTATCGTCTGTATTTTCACAAGTATCATAATCATGATCACATTGAAAAAGGAAATTTGGTAACGCTGGAAACGAAGAACAAACAAGACCTGTAGATATTTATAACAATGTTGTATTTACTTTAACTACATTGCACCAACAAACACAATTCCGGCCACACTTTTACCGAATACAGAAGCTACAGCATAAATGATGATCGTCTTGTATGTTCTATTTGATGTAATTTTTCTGCTCTCAATATAAAATGAAAATAAAATGAAATAACTATTTCTTTATCCAAGTTTTCAGTGTTTCTGTAAGTATTATTACTTTAAGTGGTTGTTTTTTTTTCTCCTTAAAGCTGAAACCATCTTGTGAGATTATGTTATTAATATTCATCAAATGACAATTCCTTGCCTAAAGTGCTTTTAATTTGGCTCTTCTAAAGGATTTTGGAAATAAGTTACGGACATGGGTGCCCATACAAAGATGCAGGGTGGAGTGAGGAGGGGTGGGCACACACACCAGAAAATAATTTTGCTGGTGCCCCTGGTTACGGAGCACGAGGCCTGAGATTTTTCGGATGAAAAAAAAAATCTATGTTTCTTTTGTCACTTTCAAATACTAGATTCTAAACACATGATCAAGTTTTACATTTTGTATATTTTAAACTAAATTTGCATATAAACGAAATATTAAAGCTAAGGTAAAATACAAAATATACTTGTTATTAGCATCTGTACGTTTCAGTAAAACAAGTCGTTCGGTTAAAGATGTAAATTTATCAATAACGCTCTTCCCTTTCCACCAAAGATAAAACCTTACCTCCGTAAATTACAATTGAAATCTACTGATCAACATATTGTGATGGTCATTTGTAGTAAGCAATCTTGTGTCTAATTTATTTTAATGTCAAGTAAATCAAATTTAGTAGTACATACCTATATTAAAGCAACCACCTGTCGTCAGCGTCAAAGTTTCTCTCTCTTTTTTCTTTGGGGTAGGGGAGGGGAAAAAAAAGGATCCCTTCTTAAGGTAGGATGCACTTTCAACTTGTATATCTCGACAAAAAGAGCTGAAAGTTGCGTAAGTATTAATGTTACTTATATGGTTTGCATAACGCGGTTGTTAGTATTAATTCATGGAATACATTTCGTCTTAAATTGATGAAAATAATTTAGCGGCACTATTCACAATAGTGCTGAATCGTACATTAAATGAAATAGATCTTGTGCACTAAATGTATATTCTATATAAACAAAAATGTGCACATAAAATCCTTAGATCCGCAGTACAAACGTATTGTTCTCTTATACAGAGCAGTATATGTATAGGTTTTGATAAATAAACAAGCAAAAAAAATTAACTGATTAATTAACGACAGCATATGTTTTATGCAATGAACATTCAATGCAATATAATGAATTGAAAGAAAACTACAAATTATTTAAACTGCTTCCAATAGATTTTATAGCACCCAAAATACAGACGTGAATAACCAGCATAACTGGTTGCATATTACGATCCATATCCTCGAGAGCTTTCGCGATAATTTTGAAAATTCAGTAGGTCTCATCACACGGCAATCTTCACGTGCTAGTTTTAAAATTTCAGTTCGACTTTGATGTCAAAAAGATCCCGACAAAGTAGAATGTCCTTGACCCTAAAAGGTAGGTCAACTTGGTCAACAAGCTTATGAATCTTGAATCCCAAACTTTTTCTCAAATAATTTCGACATAAATCTGATAAGTGGCGTGGGTTCTGTGTATGCTGAAGTAAAAGCTCCCGAACATCTTCTGATCCAACTGATAGCAATTCCTCTATGTCCTCTGACTTTGTATCATATCCAGCAAGCAGAAGTAATTTTGTCGTCTGAACGTATTTTCGTTTTATAGAACAATACAAAGGCGACCTTAATTTTACACTTCTTACTCTATTCATATCGTCAAATTCGTAGTCGCACAAGCCAATTTTGTAAGCGTTCTCTTGTGCAGAACACTCAATTGTGACATTTGCAAACAAGAGTTCCCGGATCACGCTCTCAGCATTCCAGTATACGGCGTGCCAAAACGGAGTAGCATTACAAATATCACGTGCTCCTTGATCAGCACCAAGTTGAAGAAGCGTTCGTAGTGCCGGAATGTTTTGTTCCTCGACTGCAAAATGCAGTGGCGTACGTCCAAAACAGTCACGCGCATTGACATCGTGACCTTTATGAATCAAATGACGGATAACCCCATCAACGTTGATCCATTGGGAGAAACTCCATATAGCTACCATAGGTGACATGCAAGTTCCTTTTAAATCCAACGGTATTTCCTCTTCTTCGCTGTCGGGATTCTCGTCTATTTTATCCCATTTAGGGTCTTGACTTGTACCACTTGACTCCAAAGATGATCCACGCTTCCATAATGACCGTGCGTTTTGTCTTCCATCGCAGTTGACTGCTTTAGGCTTTGTCACATTCTTTGAGCATTTAGAAACTACGTTTTCTTTTTCTTCCATGGTTAAGGCTGAATCACCCATGCAACTAGCACCAGCAAAATTACCTTGGTTTTCACAGCTTTCAACACATTTGTACTCAACCTGCTCGAAGCCTTCGTCGTTTGCATTTTCAGAGTTATCACACACGTTAATGCTCGAAGAAATACGGATTACGCTGCTATGTCCGTCTACCAAAAAACTAGTTCTGTGCATGCACCCAAGATCCTCCAGTACAGATATACTATCACTGAAGCCAAGTAAATACGCCCAGTCTATACTTGTCATCCCACACACCTGGAGAGACGTGTTAGCGCCATACTGCAGAAGCAGCTGCAGGCATTTTGCAGCGTTTCTAAGCACGGCTATAAGAAGAACAGTTGCTGTTATGTGATACCCATGGAAGCTGAAGTTAGGACTGTATCCGTTGTCTAGAAGAATCTTCAACGCTGAGTCATTGTCTACAGATAAAGAGAATATCCTTATTTATGTATTTGCAAGCTTTTACAAGAACGCTTCAACACTAATGATAACATCTGGAGTATGGATGCTGCTGATAGATGAACCTAGTGTTGTTTGATTTATTCCATAAATCATGACAAAGAGGACTAGGATGACCACTGACGTTATGATATGTAACAAAACTATTTCTCTCTCTCTCTCTCTCTCTCTCTCTCTCTCTCTCTCTCTCTCTCTCTCTCTCTCTCTCTCTCTCTCTCTCTCTCTCTCTCTCTCTCTCTCTCTCTCTCTCTCTCTCTCACGGATTTACGGATGTTTTTCATGCGAAATTACGAAAGACACTAAAAATGTCCGCTAAAAATGGACCCAAAAGACCAGGTTCATGGGTTCTTTTTCCATGGGGGCCGTAAGTTTGTTAAAGAAACGGGGATTGGCAAATATATGATGAGCAGGTAGATTAACTTGGATGAAGATGGAAGTAAATTAATTATTTACACGTGACCTCTTGTTGGTTCCATGTCAAAAAAAACCCCAACAAAGTTATATAGTTTTGTTATATATAAAAAACTTGAATACAGTAAATTAAACTAAGGACTATCATGGAGAAATGGGATATACTGGATTCGTATCACAGCTTGATTTCATGAAATTATTGATTGCCATATGATGATGAAGCAGTTGAATATTTTGTTTGTAACAGATGCCTTTACTCTCCTCCATTCCATGTACAGTTACACTCCACAAAGATTTTCCTCCTCTTTTGATATTAGAACTCAACAGTCTCCGGTCCTGCCCCAATTTGGAGTAAATTTTCAATTAATGTGCATATGTGTGTGTGTGTGTGTGTGAGAGAGAGAGAGAGAGAGAGAGAGAGAGAGAGAGAGAGAGAGAGAGAGAGAGAGAGAGAGAGAGAGAGAGAGAGAGAGAGAGAGAGAGAGATTATATTACCTTGTTTGAGTGCCTCCAACAAAGCACCAGGGTGCCGAAGCGCTTGGATCCGTCGTTCGTCTGCTTCTTCCGATTCACAGTCAGTATCTTCCATTCCAGTTTCTGAACTAAAGACACTTTTCTCTGCTGCTAGTAGAAGATTTATCATATCCACTGAATTATTCTGCACAGCGAACATTAGTGGCGTCTGCTCCACGGAGTTTCGATAGGAAAGGTCAAGGTTCTTAGTCATCAGAAGATATCTCACCATGTCCTCTTGTCCGTACATAACAGCCAGCATAAGCGGCGAGTAGGCCGTGCCG